GACTGAGCGGTGGGGGTCTCCGCCCCGGGGAATGCGGGGAGCAGGGGGGATGCGGGGTCCGGGGGAAGGATGCGGGGTGTCCCCTGCGGGGGAGATGCGGGGTGTACGCAGGGACCGGGGAGGATGAGGGATCCGGGGATGCCGCGGGGGCTCTCAGGGCGGGGGTTCCAGGGGTCCCCGCCCGGGGGTCCCCCACTCACCGCGCGCCCCGCGGGGCCGCGCCCGCGCCCCCGCCCCGCAGCCGCCGCAGCGCCGCGCTCCCGCCGCGCGCTCCCGCCGCCATCTTCCGCACAGGGACGGGGCCGCGCGCGGCGCGTGCCCACCGGGCCCCGCCCCCTCGGCCCGGCCCCGCCCCCTCAGAAGCTGGCCTGCAGCAGCGTGATTCTGATTGGCCGCCCGCCCACACCTTCGAGCGCCCGGCCACGCCCACCCGCCCCCGCCCACCGCCACCGCGACGCCTCATTGGACAGCGGCGCGGGGGCGGTGCCCGCGGGCCCGGCGGCGCTCGAAAGCCAATCAGAAGAGGCGGCTGGAGAGGCCGGTGGCTGATTGGTCCCGCTGGTCCCTCGCTCCGGCGGGGGCTGCGGCGCAGCTCCAGGGGGGCGGGGCTTCTTCGGGCTCCTCCCTGAGGGGCGGGGCCAGAATGGGTGGGGCCGCTCAACCGAGGGGCGCGGCCGGGGCGCGGCCGGGTCTCACCTGCGGGCGCGGGCTCGGGTGGTCCCCGCGGCCCCTCCGGAGTGTCCCCGGCCCTGGGGGGACATCCCCGCGCCGGGAGCTCCTCGTGGGCTGGGGGTACCTGAGGGAGGGCACAGGGAGCGCTGCTCCGACCGGACCCGCGGCGTCCCCAGAGCCGCCCCTGCCCCATTGTCTCTTCTCTCTGCCCCAGAGACCCCCCATTAGGCCGATAGCCCCCCCCTCTGCCCCACAGCCCCCCCATTTTGCCCCGTAACCCCCTCCCACATCTCAGTCCCCCCGCTCTGCCCCATAACCCCCCTCAGCACACAGATCTACAACAATCACCCCCGTACTTGCCCCCCTCATGTTTCCCCCTATCCAGCAGCCGTTCTAAATTCTCCCCATCCCGCACTCCCCCCCAGATCTCACCTCGGTGTGGGGCAGTGGGGGAACTGGGGGGCAGCAAGGAGGGGGCACGGGTGGGCCCCCGAGCCCTTCACCTGGGGAGTGCGTGGGCAATGGGGGCGAGGGAGGATCCGCACCCCGGGGTTCCCGGAGTGTCTGCTGGGAGAGGGAGCGGGTGGAGCTGGGAAAGGGGGAGAAAACAGGAGTTAAAGGGTTAACTGACCCCAAGACCCCGCCCAACGCTCTGTGACCCCTCACAAACCCTCTGTGACCCCCTCCCCGGATTCCTCAAACCCTCTCTCTCCCTCCCCAAACTGTCCAACCTCCTCCTGCCGCCTGGGATCCCCCAAACCCCTCGAATCCCCGGCCCTCTTTGTTCCCTCCCCGTGGGCCCAGGTTCCCGGTGCCCCCCGTTCCCCGCTCACCCGGGCAGGGGCGATGCCCCCCGGCGCAGGGCGCAGACCCAGGCGTGCAGCTCCTCGGCGGTCTCAGCCCCCAGGCAGTACGTCCGCATCCCGGGATGTTCAGCCTGGGAACGGGGGATCCTTGGTAGACGAGGCTCAGGTGTCCGGGTCCCGTCCCTCCCCGCCAGGGCACCCCCGGATCCGGGGATCCAGGGAGCCGGGGCTGACCGTGAAGAGGAACTGGGGGGCTCGGGGGGCGCGGGGGGCGGGGGGCAGGACGCGGATCTCGTAGCCCGGCAGGGGGAGGCCGCCCCGCACTTGCTGCTCGCTGCTGTCTGGGGGGCAGAGGAGGGTCACCATGGAGGGCACCAGAGGCCCCATCTGCACCCCGAGATCTCCAGTCCCATCGCGGGGATGCCGGGGACCTCTTCTGAGTCCCATCGGAAGCCCCCAAACCTTCTTGGGCCCCCCAGACCTTAGAACCCCACCAAGGACCTCTTCAAGCCCCCGGGGACCTCCAGTGCCTCAGAGACCCCCGATCCTGCCAGAATCCCTGATCCATCCAGAGACCCTCAATCCCCGGGGGATCCCTGACCGCCCCAGGGACCTCCAACACCCCAGGGACCCCCCCAGTCCCCCAGGATTCCTGGTTCTCCAAGCACTGCCCAACATCCCAGGAACCCTGACCCCCCCGGGGACACCCCGGGATCACTGACCTGACACCCCAGGGACGCTAGGTCACACAAGCCCCCTCACCCTCAGGTCCCCACGCCCTCCGGGTGTCTCCAGACGCCCTTGCCCTCCCTCACCCCGGTAGTAGTAGAGGCAGAGATCCACCAGTACAAACCAGCGGCGCTTCCAGAGCCGCAGCCCCGAGCTGTCCTGAGAAGCGGAGGGGGGGGACGGGGGCTGAGCCCCCGCAGCCCATCCCCCCACGGGACCCTCTGCTGCCCCAGACCCCTCAATCCCTCCCGATCCCCCCCAACCTCCTCACCCCCACAGGACTCCCTGCCATGCCCCCCAAACCCCATAACCCCCCCAGCACCCTCTTCCATCCAGACCCCATAACCGCCCCACACTGTCCGGTCCGACCAAGTGTCTCTGATCTTCCCAAACCCCATAACCCTCCCTCACCACCCACTGAACCCCCCCTCCCCCCATTTCCCTCTGATTTCCCCCCCAATCCCCATATCCACCCCCATGACCCCCTGACACTCCAGACCCTCCCAACCCTCCAGCCCCTCCCCACCGCCCCAGATCCCTCCAAAACCCACAAACCTCCCGGAATCCCACACCTCAAACCCAGCACAGCCCCTGAGCCCCCTCGCCAGCCCTCCCCGCGCCCCCTGCCTCACCTGCTTGTGCAGCCAGCCCTGCATGGCGGGGGGCGTGCGGGGGTCCCTCCGCAGCGCCTGCTCCCCCTTCCCAAAGGCGTGGACCCTCGGCACGGGCCGGCAGGGCTGGGCAGGGGGTGTCACCCACGGCGGGGGGCCAAGGAAAGGCCCCCCAGCACCCCTGCAGCCCCTCCAGGCCTCCCACCCCAATTTACCTTTGTACCCCACAATGCCCCCGCAGCTGCCCAGAGCTCCCCCCTTGTGCCCCATAAGTCCCTATGGGGTCTTGGGCTCCCCCGTACACCCCAGTGCTCCACATGCCCCCCTCGAGCTTCCTCGGGTGCCCAGAGTTCCCCAGCCCTCCGTCCCCAACCCCTACAACCCCCTCCCATAGCCCCCCAGTTTCCCCCTAATGTCCCCCACCCCCTTCGCCCACCTGGGTGCGGGGGCCAGCGGGGGCGGGGTCCCGGCGGGCAGGGTCATCGCTTTCTGCCATGGGGGGTCCTGCGGGGGCAGCGGGGGATCCCCGTCAATGTCCCCATTGTCCCCGCGGGGACAGAGGCGCCGTTCTTCCCTCTGCGGGGGCGGGGGCCTCTCCCGGACGCCTGGGTCCCCCCGGGGGTGTCGGGGAGGTTCTCGGCTCCCTCTGGTCCCTTCCCCCTCCTGCTCCTGCTGGATTCAGGTCCGCCCCGCCCCCCTGTGCTGGTCCCGGTTTCTGTTCCAGTAACCCTGAACTGGTCTCAGTTCTTATCCCAGTAACTCCGAACTGGTCCCAGTCTCCGTCTCGTTATCCCGGTGAAGGTCCCAGTTTCCGTCCCGGCATCCCTCAACCCCTCCGCCCTAATTCTCACCCCGTAGTCCCCGTGCTGGTCCCAGTTCCCGTCCCAGTAACCCTGAACTGATCCCAGTCCCTCCCGTTATTCCCGTGCTGGTCCCAGTTCCCGTCCCAGTTACCCCGAAGTGATCCCAGTCCTTCCCGTTATTCCCGTGCTGAGCTCCGTTTCCGTCCCAGGAACTCTGAGCGGGTCCCAGTTTCTGTTTCGTTCCCCCGTGCTCGTCCCAGCTCTCAGCCCGCTACCCCACACCGATCCGGGTCGTGGTCCCGTCCCCTTGCTCTGGTGGCGGGTCCCAATCCCGGTCCCATCATCCCAGCGGCGATCCCAGTTCCGATACCGCAGCTGGTTCTGCTCCCAGTCCCGTCCCGTGTCCCGGTATTGGAGCCAGTCCGGTCCCGTTGCCCCGCGCTGGTCCCAGTCCCAGTCCCAATCCCAGTCCCAGTCCCAGTCCCGGTCCTGCCCCGTGTCCCCGCCCGCCCCGGGCTCTGGTCCCAGTTTCTGCCCCCACCCACGAGTCAGGACAGCCGGGTCCCCCCGGGACCGCGCGGGTCCTGGCAGCCACCGAGGGGACAGCACCGCGTGTCCCGTGTCACCCGGGGAACCCCGTCCTGCGGGGACACCCACGGCGCTGCGGACACCCGCGACACGGGGTCACCCCAAGGACCTCACGGACCCACAAACCCCGCACATCTCAGGGATCCCTGACACCCCACGGACTCCTGACCCTTCATGGATCCCAGACATCCCGGGGACCCCCCACAGACCCTGGACACTCCACTGACCCCGGGGGTCCCGGACACCCCACGGACCCCTGACACCTCACGGGCACCGGACACACCAGGATCCCCTGAACCCTCCCGGCCTCCCGTGTCCCCATGTCCTGACGTCCTCTTGTCCCCCGTGTCCCCGTGTCCTGATGTCCCCCTGTCCCCCTGTCCCTGTGTCCCCCTGTCCTCCTGTCCCCGTGTCCCTGTGTCCCCGTGTCCCCCTGTCCCCGTGTTCTCATGTCCCCGTGTCTCCGTGTCCCCGTGTCCCCCTGTCCCCGTGTCCCCGTGTCTCCGTGTCCCCCTGTCCCCCTGTCCCCGTGCCCCC